GTATTGCTGAGGAGTATCAGCTCTTTCGGCAGTCTGCCCAAAAAAGCTCCACCCTCGCTAACTGACTCCAGGGGATTCACATTCACGGCGCCAGCTGCGATTCGTTTCTCTCTCATGTCACCTGCGCTTTGGCTCCATGGCCTTCAAGGCTGACTGGTTTTACTAGCAGAAACTGATCAGCAGTGTCTCTGACAATTTGCACCCAGGAATGAAAGTTTCCAGCCAAGTTACCAAGCCCCTGCAAAACAAAAGCAGTTAATAAAAAACTTTACCATCCTTTTTAGGTGACTGTGCCGCAGAGCCCCGCGCCAAAAGGGGGACAGGGCTGCTGACCCACGGACCGCTGCTCCCCATCAAGGCGGTGTTCGCAAGAAGCCTGGAAATCCTTGGCCACAAAAGAGAGGGAGACTTTTGGGGTACCAATAAGGAGCAATCAACAGCAAAACGGGCCCTGGTGCTGGCGTGAGGCAGCCCCTGTGCCGAGCCAGACCTGTCCCAGGGTCCCCCAGGCTGGAGGAGCCGCCCGAAGCAACGAGCCTCTCCCAGAGGAAAACCAGCACTGCTTGAAGCTTCACTCAGCTTTTGCAATTAATTAAGGTGCCATCACATGCCAGCAGCTTGCACAGTTTATGAATCCACCTTCGATCACGTCTCTGGCCCTTCTCTTGACGGCCATCTCAGCTGAGCCCCTGCCTGCCCGAGGGGCAGCTGGGCTCAGCCTGTGCCCAGAGGAGAAGCATTTCTCAGCAGGTTTGTCCCCGCTGGCTCCCCGCCGTCCCACTCATACCCTAGCAGCAGCAGGGAGTATCTGGTGCAAGGTGGGATGGGAAACCACCCCCGCAGAACAGGAGAAACATCTTGGTTAAGCCAATACCCTCTGGGACCTGCACAGCACAGGGCCAAATCCTGCTCGCCTTCCTCGTGCCCTGCTTCTCCGTCTCTCTCTGCAGCACACGTTTGGGATGCACCAAAGCTGGGGGGATTAATGCTAACACCATCGCATAGATAGGTAACATTATTTATCATAAGGTTTTGTGGTTTGGGGGGTTTTTTTGGTGATGGACCACACTGCCACAGCCAGTAAAGGTCTATAATTTACTCATTGAGCTGCTGGAAGCCTTTTTTTTGGCCCCGAGATATTTTTGTTCCCTGTCAAAGGGAACCGCTCTGCAGCATCCTCGCCCCGGGGCAGGAGCTGCTCCACTAGGCAGGCAATTAAAACCAAGGGAAAGCGGGGGAGGGCAGGGAGAAAAGGAGATGCACAAGAAAAAGCTCGCGATTCAGCTGTGCAGGCCTTATCCTCCCAGTAATCTTCAGGGGAAAAAAAATCTTATTGAATTAATAGAGGAAAGGAAAGCTCAGCCCAGCCCAGCCAGCCGTCTGAGCAGTCCAGTTCAGAAACCGGGGGAGGAAAATCATCACCAGGCTGCCTGCGCCAGGGCAGGTTGCTGCCGGCTGGCAGCACCGGCGCGCCCCGGCAAGCTGCTGACAGCACAGCACTTGTCTTCGCAGCTCCCTTCCCTGGACATCCAGCAGCGTACTTCAGGAAATAAAGAATAATAGTAATAGGAAAAAAAAAGAATCAAAAAGCAAATGGTCCAGGCAGGCCCGTCTCTCTGCCCAGGGCTGGGGGCAATGTTGTCTCTACAGACCATGAAATGGGGTATAGGAGGGTAAAGACATTTGTCACCAAGAGACAATTATTTTTGTTCACTCCCAGGCTACATCACACACTGTTCACGCTTACCCCAACTTTCATGCGTTACAAAGGAAGATGTTCAGCTCCTAAAAAACTCAGAGACACAGAAGGACCCTCTGGCATCAGTCGCTTGCAAGTGATGTGCAGGAGAGGTGTGGGAGAGTCCTGCCGCTGCCAGATTCCCCACTGCCTCCACCATATGGCAAGGCAGGATGGAGAAATTCAAGAGAACAGGGCATTTAGGGGTTATGGGACAAGGAGTACAGAAAAATAAAATAAAATAAAAAAGTTCAGCCTGAAAAGCTGTAGCTCCTCCCGGCCACCCAAAGCCCAGGACCGTCTGTGCCAAGGGAAAGGGCACATCCAATCTTCCACCGAGCACTGACCTCGCCAGATCCACTAAAAGTTCATTAGGGAGGTGAAAACTCCTGTTGTTTTCTGAATTTTATTTGATTACTGTGAAACAGAAGACACTAGCAAGGAGAGAGGGTTGTTTTTTAAGTAAGTATCCTGGAGTCTGGGGAGAAAGCCAGGGGGGTTGCAAAACAAAGCCCCTATTAACTTTGGTCCCGACTTTCAGGTCACGCATGTTCAGTTCTTTTTACCTGGAAATGAAGACGTTAATTGGAGCTGACAGCTTTCATAGGTTTCCCCATTAGCAATATTTTTAGCCACAGTAGGGCCCAAGTCTTCAAACGCTTTCCCAAGGGAAGGTTTTAACCTTTCTTTTGAAACATCTCATGCCACTTGCAGGGAAAAAAAGAGAGTTTTTTGGCTCAAGGCGTACCAAGCCCTGGCTGTGACGAACTCCCGGCTCCTCTGAACAGGGGACACGGGAGGAACAGGGAAAAGAAACTGGGGAGAGGCAGCCCAGAGCCTGGAACGGAGCTTGGCACCATGCGGCAGCATCACCCAGCAGGGTGGCCGCCCCTCCAGCACCCCGACCCTCCCCGTCCGGGTGACGGGCTCCGGGCACGGCCGAGCCCGAGCAGGGCCCTGCGGGGTGTGCTGGCCCCGGTCCCCTGCAGTGCGGCTGATCTCCGCCATGGGGACAGGACGACCCTTCAGCACCGGCGCCCAGAGCCAGGAGTCAGCCAGACACATGTCCTGTGCCACTCGGATGCCCGACCCTGCTGTCCTCGTGCCGGCAGGGGGCACGGGACCCATCCATGGATGGATTCTAGGGCAGCGATCAAAATGGTTCCCCGAGCCCTTTTTCTGCCACAGATCAGATCCCACACATCAACGTTTTGTTAGCTTGTTGGATCTAAGAACATTTTTTTTTTTTTACAGCTGGTTTCTTTACATACTGTTATAATCTATAGGTAATTTATTGTTTTCAGATGAAGTAAAAGCCTCGAGAACCCACATTCAACACCGCCTCCTGCCCAGGACTGAAAATTACGCAACTTGCTTACTTTCCATATAAATATATGGATAGTGTATATATATAATCCATTAAAAATAATATATTTTTATTTATATGTATTATTCATTTTTATATATATTAATATATATATAAATACATAATCAGAGATGACAGTATTTCCTTATTTTAGAAACCTGCTCCAACACACATGTTCCACTTACACCACCGTTACCCCACCAAGTTTTGCAGTTTCTCTCCAAGTGGAAATGTATTTTAGCTGAAAGCCGTGCTGACACCCAAGGAAGCAGTTAGACACTCCCAGCAGAGCCTCAGTTATTTACCTCATTGTATCCAGTGTAATCATTTTGGAAAGTCTTCATTTTGAAATTTTATGTCTCTAAGATGGTGATACCAAGGCAGACCAGACAATTTTATGAGGATGCTTTTGCTCATCTTTGCAGGCAGCGGCTGAGACGGGGCAGCCCAGGGCTGTCCCAGCTGCTTTGGTGCCGCGAGACCCTAGGGCTTTGCCAGAGCAGGGAGAAAAGGGACGCATCGCTCCCAAGAGAGGCCAAGGGGCCGGAGGGGAGGCAGCCCCCTCTGCACGGGGCTTCTTGCAAAGCCACCTGGATGCCACAGGGCTGTACGGGACCACGGCAAGGGGCAGGGTGGGTCACCCTGCAGGGAGCACTGGATTTACTGCATTTGACTAGGTCCAGTGGTGCCCTTGCAGCCGTGTCCCCTGAAGGAGAAGCACATTTTTGCCTTGATAGTACTGCCCTTCCTTGGGCCCTGGCACCACCACAGCCCCACTTGCACCCAGGCCCCACAAATTCACCCACGTGCAAGGAGGAAGGTCCCATCTCCTACTGAGCATCCCAAACAAGGTGCACTGGGGCTGCCGCAACAACACACACCTCCCCAAAAATTATTTACCTGGTAGATAAAAGTACCCCTGTGGTGCCAGTGCAGAACAGGAGGACATCAGCAACAGCTGCAGGAAAGAGCATCATCCCACTAGGAAACAGGGCTGCACCGAGAGCTGTGAGCTCTCCCCACCCAGGAAATGTTTGTGAGGGTGGGCTGTCCCTCAGCTGGTGCACATCAGCCCTTCACCCGCCTCCCTTGTAACTCGCTCAGCCCAAAGCAGCCAGGGCCAAACCCTGCTCACCCGCTGTGGACACGGACATTGCGGAGCTGTGGGGCGCTGAGTGGCCCCATACACCCCATGCGGTGATGCCGTGTGGCTGATGGGGGCTGGGCGAAGGGCAGGGTGTGCACAGAGGCTGCCCCAGGGACCCCAAAAAACAGTCGGGGTCAATAAAATAAACTTTCCCAGTCATCTGCTTCCCCCCAACACACCTTTTTAATACAGAGCAGACTGGGGTAAAACCAGCTCCTTTCGCACGAGTCCCCACGTCCCCAGGGAGTCGCTGCTACTCGAGCGCTAGAAAGACGGAGGAGCCTCCACCTTCTGTTTGCTGTTTATTGTAGTGGAGAGAAAAATAACGCACACAAGAGGCATTTTGCATAACTTAACAGAAAATAACACTTTTCCTCCACTCTTCACAGATCAACGGGCAAAATCATTTCCTACGCATGGCTATATTTTTGTGCTAACGGTTTGGTGTATTGATAAAATCATGGGTTTCCTCTAATACGCTGCGATAGTTGATCTGAAACCCAAAGCTCAGGCTTGGGGGGCTCCTTCACTGTTTAACACAGCTCCCATTGCCATTTGCCCATGGGGAGGGTGAGTGCTGGGTTCGTCCCCACAGCGCTCCCGGGAGGGATTTTCGCAGCTGGGGTCTGGCTAGGGATGCTGAGCAGCTCCGCAGCTCTCACCGCCCGTGCCACGTCCTGGCCGCTCTTCCCTGGCACGGCTGAAGACGTGACCCAAAATGAGGGGGGGCGCGGGCAGCGCCGGCAGTCTCAGTCCAGGGCCAGCGAGGGGATCTTGCAGACGAAGGGGAAGGCTCTGCCGCAGGCGTTGTCATTCCAGGAGCGCAGTGCTACCCCCCAAAAAAACAAGGCGTTAGCCAAAAAAGGGCATGAGGAGGTAACCATGCACCACCCTCGGGACCAGGCCCTCCTGCCGTTGCAGGAGGCTTTCCCTGGATGTGCTTCCATTTGCGCTGCTCCCAGCCATGCCCGCTCCCAGCAGCTTCCAGATCCTCCAGCATCCTGGGGATGCTGGCAGGGATGCCTGGCCCCAGCTTGAACATGGTAGCGGGGAGGCAGCTGCAAACACAGCCCCATACCCCACAAAATATCAACATGGACGGGGTGTTTAGGTATGTCCAGGGGGCCTGGATACACCTGACTGGTCTCACTGGCAATGAGGGTGTGAAGTGGGATTTTTGCACAAGCAGGGTCTTGCCCCGCTTCAGCGAGATGCCCCTGGCCCGAGCGAGGGAGGGAAGAGCTGGCAAACCGATGGGTGTTTCCACGGGCCTCCCGTGTGGGAGGGGAAATGGGAAAATTTGACCTTTGGCTAAATTCAGTACTTCTTCAAAGTGGATGATGCTCCCCTCCTGCCACTGCTGTGGGAGAGGGAGATGGGCTGTGAGCAGAGGGAAAGCGAGTGTGTGTGTTTGTGTGTGTGTGTGTATGTACGTGGAGAAAGAGAAAACATGTCCCTTCTCTGCAAAGAAAAAAGAAAATAATAAAAAATTAAAATGCAAATCCTCAGCCTGCCAGCAACCTCTTCAGAAAAGCACAAGCCACAGTGGATTGAATTTATTGACATGCAAATAAGACTTAAGGTGCCCTCGACGCCCGGCGCGGCACTCACCACTGCTGTGCCTGTACCAGATCTGCACGCAGTCCTCCTCCTCCGGGATGGAGTGGATCCCGTCGTCGGGCTGACTGCCGTCCCAGTAGTGGTAGTCGTAGGAGGAGCCGTCCGTCCACTCGAAGTGACCCTCCTGGGGGCGGGGGGAGGGAATGATCGCAGAGCCGCGTTTGGGGGGGGGAGGGGGTGTCCTGCTCCCGTGCAGACCCTGACCCCGTCCCCATCCCCATCCCCGGTGCCACACAGCCAGGGGACACGGGGAGAGACTGTCACCACTCAGCAAAGGCCAAACAGCTTGTTTGGGTTTTACAACTGAAAACTTGCCCTGGAAAGCCCCAGCATTCGCAGTGTTCTCACCAGGGGAAGCCCAGAAATTAAACCCATATATTTTTTAACACAACCACCCAATTCTGTGTTCCTTTTCCTTTTTCTTTTCCATTCCTTTCCCAATATCTACAAAAAATTTGCTGGCATGGGACTGTTCTCCTGATGGTCTCGATTTTTCTTTGTTACATATTAGACTATATATTTCCAACATGTCAGCTTTGAAAAGTTGCAGAGTATCACAAGAAAGCAATGAAACTTGGTGATTTTTGGCGTTGGAAACATTTTCAGTTTATTTGCTTTTCTTGGACCAGCAGTACAATACTCTTTCTATTAATCCATTAATAAAATGATGTGAACAATTAGTAATTATTACTGTATTAATTCTAGTAACACTTCTCTTTTGAAAGCTAACTGGAGGGGATGAAATGACAACTTTCCCTCGTGTGCTGCACAACAGACCCTACGCCACCACCCAATTAATGGGGCTATAAGGAGTGAAGAAGAAAACCAAGTGGCTTTCCAGGGGTAAAACGCAGGGAAGTGAATTTTTCAAAGCCATTTCCCACATGATTACAGGGAGCTCTCACCTGCCGCAGGTCGTTGAGCCCTGTCCAGATGTCGGTGGGGATGCCCGGCACGCGGCTGTTCACCAGGTCATACACGAAGACGTTTTCTTCCCAGCTGGCAAAACAGAGCAATACGGAGCCGCTGAGGGGGTATGTCAGGCAAATGGTCAGGCATGCCCCTAAGCATTCGCCCTACAGCATGGCCAAATGGGTCCCCCTCTTCTAACTGCTGTTGATTACTTTCCTGAGTCTGTGCAAGAGGTGCACAGTGTGGGTGAGAGCTGGGGGAGAGGGAGCCGGGGAAAAGCCTGTGTAATCATGTTGTATTTCTATCCCTTTTTCAAGAGTAAAAAATGAAGTTTTGGGAAATTGAAGGAATACTACGTCAGTTTTCCTGCCAGGCCAGGAAAAGGCATTTTTTACATTGCCTTTGTGTGCCCAGTGCATCAGACTTGACCCGGTCGCTGCTGCAGAGGGACGTTTAGGCTGGGACACGAGCCTGCGGCTGGCACAGAGGTTGTGCTGCGCGAATGGGACTTCGTCCCCATTTTCCTTCTTCCCCAGGCCGTGCCAGGGTGGGATGACGTGTTTCTGCACCCCTTACCTGTGGATGGAGGCTAGCTTGGCTGATCTGATGCCAATGGAGAACTCGGCGCAATAGAGGTCGGCTTCAGCCCAGGTTTTGTTAATGGGGAAGTACCGGTAGCAATGGCCTTCGTACTCTGTCCAGAAGAGCGGGCAGGAGTAGGCGTGGACGGGCTCCGGCATGGCTGGGGGCAGAGCAGAGGACATCCGGCAGCTGATGGCGAAGCAGTGAGGCCGGGCAGCTGAGCAGGCAGCCGAGCAGGCAGCGGAGGCAGCACTGCCCAGCCCTGCTCCCCCCACCTCACCCAGGCAAATAACCACCAAACACATGCATGGAAAAAACAACTCTTGCAGAAGCCGTGCAAAAGTTTGCAAAAGCCAAAACACATTTTGCAAAAGCCATGGGTTTCTCGGTTTTAGCATCTGCCTAAATCAGGAGGGACATTTCGATTCAGTTTGACATCGTTTTAGGCAGAGGGTGCTTAAAATAAAGGCACTGACATTTGCTACTGTGGAAACCGAGATAAGGGCTCCTCTCGCCTCTATCAGGCACTACCGGAGCCACCGTGCTGGGATGGGAGCTGACAGCCAGGGTCTGCAGGGTTATGGCCGCACTCGGCCCTCCTGCTCTCACCTCCTGCAAGGCCAACTTGCACCTCCTCCCTCCGAGCAAACCCCCTCACTATCCCCTGTGTCCCTGGGCCCAGACACAGCCACGCACGTACGCACGCATTGGATTTCAGCCACATAAATAGCCGGGCGAGGCGCGCGTGCTGCCGGGAGCGGTGCCAGCCTATCTGCCTCCCGCCACCAGATAAGAGCTGGGGCTCCGCGGGGCTGGTCCTCCTCCCCCACCACTTTTCAGCACAGTGGGGGAGTTACCCCAAAAGAGGCCATTTTGCAGGGGCAAAATCCTTCCCTGCCCCAGCACTGGCACCTCCAGATGATAATTTCGTATTTCATCAGCTCTTTCCACATGGGGATCTCTGAGTGTTTTACAAACACCCACCAGCCAGCCCCCGGGTCCCTCCTGTCACACACCCCTCCCAGGCAACAAACCACAAATGCAAAGAGCCTTTTTTGCCTCCTGAGCAAGGCATGGAAGCCAACCCGACTGCCGGTGCACCCGCTGTGCCGAACCCCGTGGGGCTGTCGCCCCATCACTCCTGCCTCGGGACCCCCGGCCGCTCCCTCTGGAGGAGCTGTGGCTGGGAGCAGCTCTGCACCCCACAGCAACAAACCCCCTGAGAGCAGCGGGGGGCTCTCCCACCCTCATCAGCACTAGTTATGGGCTGCGGAGGAAAAAGGATAAGGCACGCTGGGCTGGAAACAAGAGGAACAGCTTTACGGGAGGGTGGCCAAGCCACAGTCAGCTCAGTGGCAATGCAGGGTTCAGCTCTCGGATTCACATTCAGCCATCGTTGCATTTGGAAAAAACCTTAGAATAGCCCTAAAAAATGCAAATTGTTGCTATAATAGCAATAGAGCAGAAGGACCAGGAACGCCGAGAGCTGATGTGATTTCCTGGGAGCCAAGCCCGCCTCCCCACGTGGCGCCGGCCAGGGGTCCCCACCACACTGAAAGCGAAGCAGAGCAAGGGCAGAGGGTCAAACCCACAGGACGAGGCTTCAGCTTCACCGCCAGGCTGTGGATGAGGCGCATCCTCCCATCCAGGACAGGGCTGGGATCTGGTCCCGGCTCACGGCGACTCCAGATTGCTGCACCCTCCTGCCGAGGGCACCCCGGGGGTCTGCGGCAGACAGGCACCGCCAGCTCCCCCAGAACTGGGGTTTTATTATAGAGGCTGTGAAGCGCCTTGACGAACTCTTCACCTCTAGCAGCACGGTGGCAAAATTCACAGGGCTTAACCCAGCAGCATCCCCGACAAACGGGGCCCTTCGCTCCCGAGTGCTAATTGCAGCAGGCGTCCCGGTGCCCTGGCTCCAAGCTGGGCCCGTTGGCGCCCCGATCGTCCGGGAAAATCACCCTTGTTTTGTTCAGAGCAGCCAAAACCGAGTCAGAGATGGAGAGGAGGCAGTCCTTCTTTGTTATTCCGTACTGCTTCCCATTAGGTAGCATTAATTTGACGAGCTTCAGCGAACCAGAGGTGCCTGAAGGAATTTAAGGTTAAATATACTGAAAAGGAAAATATGGGAGGTCAGCATTTAATTAGCATCTTTTCTGTTAGGTCAGGATCAGAGGCTTTGGCTGTCTCTCTGGAGGAGAACTATTGCTCCCAGTTTCACAGGCAGGAACCACTGTGGGTGCTGCTTTATCTGGGGTGTTCGGGGGCTATTTTTAGCAGAAAGGCCATAAGAAATTGGATGCATGTTTGTGAGTATACGAGCCCACTCATGGCTCTGTAGGAAAACCTCATAAACCAAGCCAGCAGCTGCTAATGGTATTTTGATCTAAAAGGGGACAGGGGAAGCGTTTTGGGACTATTTAGACCAGATCCTCACTTTTAAGTACCCCAGCAAACATCACCCCCAGCAGCATCAGCTCCTCCACACAGGGCAGGAGCAGCACAGCCGCTGCCCGCAGGACAGGGGCTCCTGCCAACCCCAAGTCAGTTCATCTATTTGTCCCCAAATTCCTGGTGAAAAATGATGGCAAGAATCCTTCCTCCCTTTGCTTATTTACAATGCAGCAGCTTTAAGGTCAGGGCCACGTTTTAACGCAAAACCAGCAAAATAAATGTCCAAACTAGGTTGAGGATAAGATTCATATGAGGCAGCTGTTACTAGCTCAGAAAAGCTGGAAAACAAGAATTTTGGGTCAGAAAAAGTTTTGTACTCTCTGGATTTGTGTTATTGCCAACAAAACTGAAGCTTTTTTATTTATTTACTAGCCGAGACCCACTTCAGAACCGCCAGGAAAATCACTTGTCAAAATCTTGCAGAAGCTGGCACTGCTCTGCCAAAAAGTTTCACTTCCCCAAGTGGCCACTTTCCAGCTAGAAATAATTAACTGAGAAAACCCCAGCTAGTTTCACGAGGTTTTTTTATTCCAGGATGCTACTGAAAAAGATAAAATACCAACTGTGTGACTCCCACTGGCTCAGCCAGGGAAGAGCAGTTTTTTTCCTGAACAGCTTCATCCCAAAGTGCAATGCTGCCTCACCTCCAGCGATCTACAGATTTGAGGTACAAAGTTTGGGGCTAAGGTAAGGTTGGCAAGAGATATCCGTGCAAGGAAGACTCCTGGGGATACTGCAGCTCCATCAAAGCATTTTGGACAGCAGATCCGATCAGGTCAGTGCTGGCAGCAGATGCTCTTCTTGCTGCAGAGCATCGAAGGGCTCCGTTTCATCAACAGCTGATGACTTACCAAAAAGCTTAGAGACATTAGGAGATGCCTCACTGAAAGGCATGGTCTTGAAACACCCCTTTTGGCACATCCATAAGCTAATGCTGCTGTCTGACCTGAAAAAGCAAGTGAACCTCTTCAGTTCTTGGCAAGCAGCTGAGTTTGGAGGGTGTCCATCAACGCCCAAGAGACTTATCTGAAGTTGATGCCAACGGAGAAGAGCTGAGGAGATCCCCATCATGTGCAAGGCTGGGTCCTTCCCTGGGCAGAGCTGCCCGTGGAGCAGGTACCTGGTGGTACCCGAGGGCTGCGATGCTGAAAGCGAGGGTTGGGGAGCACTCCCCAGCCAGTGGTCAGAGCAGGGGCTGAGGACGAGCATCCCAGCGCTCACCAACGCCAAGTTGCCTCTTACCAGCTCGGGGTCATGGGGAAGACTGGCAGCACGGCTTTACTCTGTGTCGGCGCTGCCAGAGCAGTGGGCAGTTATTGGGTATGGGTGAGAAAACAGGGCTGGGACAGGGGAGCCCCAGGACTCCCCAAGGACAGCTTCAGCAGAAGCAGCCTGCGGCAAGGCCAGAGGGTTCAAAGTGCCGGCTGAGCCAGACCTCCATCCCACCACAGCCTTGACACGTCTGCCCTCTTTATTCAATAAACCCAAAGAACAAGCATTAAAAAGGGGGTTTGGTGGGCAGGAGCGTGTGGCAGGGGCTAAGACAGTGCTACTGTATGATGCTGGGATGCCTCAGGTCACCCATGGCTTTAGGAGCACATCCTTAAGCCCTGACACCACAGTCATTATGGACAAACAATCCCACCTTCATGTGATTTGCAATATTTATCCTTCATTAACAGATGAAAAAGTCTCTTGCTTAGCATCCACCTTCAAAACAAGCGGTTCATGAGAGGGTTTTCAGTCTCTGTGTGTCTGGGGGACATATGGAGCTAGAGGGGATGGTATCCACTGATGGACGTGAAGCTCATTTAATAACTGGGCGATATTTTACACACACTGATGTGTTTTTTAAAGCACATGTTACAAATTTCCAAGTAAAATTTTAAACACCAGTTGAAGCATGTTGGAAGTGACATCCCTTCACACAGAGGGCTTTGGTTTTCAAATCCTGTAACAAAACCAAGCTGGTTTTACAGCTTCAAATCTTCTGCCAGGTATGTTTGTAGTCGTGAGGCTACAGCAGGCGCCGGCAGCAGCCCTCCTGCAGCCAGCACTAACCGATAGGAGTTATCTTGCATGAGTTTTTTTTCCTTCTTAATTAGTTTTGGCGAAGCTCCCACGGATTAGGTGTCTGTCAGGAAAGCTGGGCTCATATCGATCCTTTTTCTCACGAACTCACCGAATGGTACTTAAGGAGTCCCTCTCTGCTCACGTTCCCATACAAATCTAATGGGGCACGAACAAACTCAGAGCAGCGACTCCTGCTCACGCCAGCCCCATGAAAAAGTTTGCAAGAACCTTAAGTGACATAAAGCAGCCACCGTCACCAACAGCTCAGAAACAAACTCCAAACTCAGAGCAGCGACTCCGCCAGCCCCATGAAAAAGTTTGCAAGAACCTTAAGTGACATAAAGCAGCCAGGGGGGGGGGGGGGGGGAATAAGGCAGAATCACTTATTTGTGGCCACTTTTCACATGCAGTAAGTGTGAATAAATAAACCAGGTGCCACGGTGGTCCTCCCTGCCTGTCCTGCCGGGCTGCTGGGCTGCAGTCCTGCACCACTCACGCATGTGCCTCCGTGCAGTTATTTCTGCCCGCTGCCCCTGCCGTCCACGCCAGACACACCGTAGGGAGGGCTGAGGGTCCCCGGCATCACGCCACGCGAGCGCATGTTGCTGAAGGCGAAAGCGCAGCCTCTTACACAGAAAGAAAGCAAGCCAGAGCAGAGACAGCTTCAATATCCCAGGAGAGGGAGACCGGGGCTGCTCTTGGCACGTCCCCCCAGTGAAGAAGGAAGTTGGTTTCAAGGAAAGTCAGAGATTTCTGGAGCAGTCGGAGAAAGGGGAAAGCCAGCTGCTGACCCTGCAGGAGATACGCGCTCTCCTCTCCCTGCTAAAGCCGTCGCAGTTTAAGGATTGCCTTTACCCCAAGCCGCAATCAACGCTTTGCACTCACCTTGGCTGATCTTTATGTTTGTCTGGGGGAAAGCCTGGGCGGCAAGCAACGCCACGGAGAGGAGGGCACACACGTCCCACCCGGTGCCCATCGCCAGGGAGGGAGGACGGGGCGCTCCCCCAGCTCCGCAGGCAGCCAGTTGCAGGGGTCGCCGCTCGGTCCGGGACCTCCGGGCTGTGCCAGGGAGGCTGCCGGCGCGGAGGTGGATATAAGCGCTGTGCTGCTCCCTCCCCCAAAAGCAGCGGCTCTCCCAGCGACACGCGCCTCCCCACCCGCCGCCAGCTGAGCCCGGGCGCACTCGTTGCATCCCACCCTGAGGGACCTGTGCCCAGACCTTTGCCCACGGCCTGGCTCGGGGGCTGCATGTCTCCTCCCGGAGATCCTTTGTCACACGCCGCAGGCTGCAGGCGAGCAAGGGAATCCCTTATCTACCCCCCCCCAGTTGCTTCCTGAGACTTATTTTGTGTCCCCAATTTAGCACCGCCTAACTGCACTATGCTGGCTGCCTTGCCCCGCAGGGATGCTGGCGGGCATCAGCGGCCAGGCGTGGAGGGGAGCTCGGGGCAGACCTTCACCCTGGGGTGCCCGAAAAACGTGCCCCTCTTGCCTGCTGTGCAAGACGGGCGGCCCTTCAAACCCAGGGTAGAGTTAGCAGCTGGAAGGCGAGGGCTGTGTTAACACAGGGGAGGCTGCGGCAGCGTGGGCACCGCAGGGTAAGGCAGGCTGCAGCGGGGGGAAGCAGGTGGAGAGGGTCCCCTGGGCTGCAGGGGAGCACCGCCTTGTGCGAGGCTTTGTGCAGCCTGTAACTGTGGGGTTTAACCCATTACTTCTCCGTTTTGTGCGTGCTTTTTTTTTTTTTCTTAACCAGGGAAAGGCAATGCTTTGTCACACTAAAACAGCCTGGAAGGGGAAACCACCAGCTGTGCCAGGGGGTCCGAGGCTGTTTCAGGAACTCACGCTATGCCCATCTGCTGGGGCCGTGCTGGGTCCATGCAGTCCTATAGCAGCAGAAAACCTTCAGCATCAGGCAGCAGTCAATATTATTAACAGTCAATATTATCTAGTACATCTCCTTTCTGTGGTCAAATTTTTTTTTTAAATAAACTACAGATTTTTTAAAATATTGCATAAAGTCCTTTCCTAGCTGTTGCACTGGTAAGGGAAACAGTAGAGGCACAAATGCTATGAAAATTTTGTGGTCCTGCTCCATTTCGAATTTATGCCTTCAATCAGCATTGAACAATCTGCTTAGGAACACAGCCAATGCTATTCCCTTTTTATTTTTAGCTACAGATTAAAATTTTCAGTGTTTTCTGGGACTTCAGTTGAGATGACTCCTGTTTTTACAGGCAAGATCCAGGTAGAAACAATTTGGGGTGACAGAAAGTTTTCAGTATAGCAAAGCATCCACACGTACTCCAGAGACAGTAACTCATTCAATCAACTTTCATTTATTAAATTTTCTTTGCATTAAATAAAACCTTTTAAGAAAACTCCCCTCCCCCTTTCATTTGCAATTCCATACATTGATCTGAAACTAGGAAAAGTCTATTGATATATCAGACCACTAAAAATCATGGAATTCAAGAGTATTAGAAGCCAAGGCATGCCTTCTCTCTTCTTAACTGTGCATCATCCCCAGATAAAGCCAGTGTTAGAAGAAATTATCAGCAAACTATGGAACAAAACTCTTTGAGCACATTCATCTACTCCCAAAGCACAAATGTTTATGCTTAAAGAGAGAGCAGAGATCCAGAATAACTTTAATCCTGTTTCTAAAAACAGACCCACCGCAGCAGCATCTCCCCCCTCCAGCGCAGGTGGGAGCACCGAGCCCCCCGTGCTGCCCCTGGAGCCGGCGGCTCCGTGCCCGGCATGGCAGCTGGGCACCAGCTTTGCTCCCCGCGCTGGGAAAGTACACGCATGTTGTGCATGCAGAGCCGGCTGGAGTTGCAGCTGCACTTTGGGTTACCTTCCAATTTCACAAAACATGAGATGTGTTTTACCTGCTGGATGCAACCCCGAGCACAGCCACATCTCGTTTATTCAGCCCTTCTGCTCCCCTCCCTCCCCACGCTGTTTTCTGATTGAGGTCAGGAGCTCCTCAGTGTGCTTCAATCCTGCTTTTATTGACCTTTCCTCAGGGTTTCCTCGCCAATTTTTGGCAGTGTATGTACGTGACACCCCCCTCCCTGTGAAACAGAGACCGCATGGCTCCGAGGAGAGACTCATGGGCAAGAGCACCTGGTGTTAACATTTCAACCGTAGTGCTCGAGCAAAGCACATGGCAGGTCTCAGGTCAGCTTCAGTGGATGCCCAGAACTCGTGCTGCTGCCCATAGACCCCACGTGGAAGAATATTAACGTTGATGGCAGCGACTGCTGAAACCACAGCCCCTTGTCTGAGCCTTTTCAAGTTACAGGAAGAGATCAGCCTCCTACAGCACGTGTTTGCCCAGGACTCCCCCCGGGCTCCCTCTCCACCGTGAGTTATTGATGAGACAAACCAGGAGGAAGCCAGAGAACAGAGATTTGCTATCGACCTCGCTGCGGGACAGAGGAGGAATTTCACCTTGCAGAGAGGCAGGTTAGAACTGAAACCCATCATCCACAACATGCTCGGAAAGAGGATGCCCACGGACAGCCCTGCAGCAGCCACTGTCCCCATCGCTTTGTGCTGCTAACATACGCCAGCTGTGCTGGAGAGCAGCAGGGAGCTACGTGCAATAGTCAGAAAGAAGCAAGGGTGTTCACCAGGGGACAGTGTGCATGACCACACCAAGGGTAAGCTCCTACCTGTGTTCACCCCCAGCCACAGCGACTGGGCGATGGTTTGGCAACAAGGTCACCAAGGCCTTTTTTTGCCATCCTTTATCCAAGGCCATGCTGTGCTCTGCCCAGGAGAAGGGTGTCCGCGCTGCCCCTCTCCCCCCTCCACTGAGAGACGGCTTCTTGATGCAGAGTGGAGACATCTCTTATATGCTTATATGAATATAAGCCTCCTTATATTCATTGCATTCCCTCCTCCATGACGGCAGGGTCACCATATCAGACTTGGCCATCACATGAAGAGCATGCATAGGGATGCTCGGAGCACAGAAGGGAACGAAACACCAACGACTCAATGGAAACCGGAGCAGGTCCCCGACCAGAGGTGTGCTGCAGGGATGCTGCTGTCAGAGTTACAACACAGACCTTCACACTGGAGCACCAACACCCTGGACCGCAGCAGGGACTATTGACTGACTCACCAACATCTGCCCAAACAAGTACCAAGGTTGGGTTTTTTTTTTTTCTTTTTAAGACTCACCTGTCCTTAACTGTGGCAGCCAAACAACAGAGATGAAATACACATATACCTGTTGTTTTCTTTTTAAAAATCAAACTATTAAAAGCACGGGAGATAACGGGAGTTCATTCTGGGCTGCATTTGATGAACAGAGGGGAGGGAAACGACTCCTGCCTGACCCACCGCATGCCAGCCCTGGACTGTCATCGCTCTGACCTCCAGTTTAAAAGGTCAAAGGGCCACAAGCGAAGGCAAAGCTTCCCACAGCACCCAGCCCCAAGCCCCGGCCCCAAACACCACCTTTATTTTGCTCAAGGCGACTTCTCCCGCTCCTAGCAGAAAGGGATTGAGCCAGGGCAGATGGAGAGCACGCTGGCTTGCACCCCTCCCAAGCAGCCGATGGGGACCCTGGGGACCGGCACGGCCACGGGAAGGCTCTGCACGGCGGGGTGCATGGAGGGGGAGCAGGCCATGGGCCTGGGCCACTGCAGAGCCCACAGGCTACCACCCAGCGATTACACAGGTGACCTAGGGAGCAGGATACGGCCAGAGCCCGGGGCCCTTCCCCACCTCCTCTGTTGATCACAGCAGCACCGATGTGGCGGCAGAGCCGACCCATCCGTAACATCCCGAGGCCTTCCAGCCCAACACGGATAAACACTGCTGAAGACAGAACAGATCCTTCCTTCTCCAAAACAAAGACATGGAAAGACAATAAAGTCATGGGCCGGGCCCAGCTCTCTTCAAGGCGATGTCCTTCTTGTTTGATTTCTTGAATGGGCTGTGAGCAAGATACAGAGTTTTATGCAGTCTCAATGTTGATAAATAGAGCAATAAAAAATAATAATAATTTGGGGCCCACTCCTGCAAAGGACCGAGACCCGGAGCCCGGTGCAGAGACTTTGACACATCCGACCCGCAGCGCGTTGGGTGTGCTCTGGCTGGGAACCACGCACGGCCAGACCAACGCACTTGGCTCACTCTCCTGACCGATCTCCATCAGCAGGTCCCCAGTTTCTCTCAAATTGCTCCTGGTTCATCTGCAGTGGGTAGCAACGGGGTAAACGCCAACATTTTGGCTTTTCTTGTGCCATAAACATAACCGATGGAGCTCAACCCAAAGATGAATTCTGCTAACAAGTATCACCCCAGTCTACGTGGCACAATTAAATAGAATTTTATTTTCAATAAATATACAATCTGCATCATACCAGACAATATGCTGTGAAAAAGTAAGATGTACAGAAGCAACCAACAGGACAGCTTGACTGTAGCTAAGTTCACTTGGTGACCTGGAAAACTACCTCGGTTAACACACACAACACAGAAAGAGCCACTGCAGTCTGTGAGAGAATTAAAATTGTGTATTTTGGGTCATTTTAACCGCAAAAGTCCCCGCAGCAGGTTTCTTTTGCATAACACAGGTTTGAAAAGACATGAGCTGGCTTTCCCGGTACAAACGCTATTGGAAATGTTTACTTTGCTATATCATCACTGTATCTACTTGACGCACACAGACTGCTATCGAGAGTGGCAGGTCTCACCGCTGACGTGACATCGGATCTGTTTGACGAGGGGCCCCACGCACACGTGCGTGCCCCAGCACACAAATGCACGCGTACGTACTAACAGGAGCTTAATTCTGTTAAAACTAGTACAACGACAAAACTGGATTCGGAATCCATTTCACCACAGGTTCTACCGTTTAAAAAAAATATTCTAGCCTAATTACCACGTTCACCAACGAGAGCACACGGGTACTTATATCTCCAAGAGGATGAGCCATGGATTTGGACTGGAAGGACAGCGGAGGCAACTCCCAACTCTTCCACCCGCTCAGCGCTTCCCGCGGCACCTCCATGCACAGCCCATGCCGCCCGGCCACACGCTCTGCTGCACGGGATGCAAACAGCCGAGCAGTGCCGGGTGCGAGCAGCGAGAGGTCCGGACGGCCGGGCCGCTGGTGGCCCCAGGGGAACGGCCAGGACCCGGTGGGACATGGTTCGCAGAGGCCAGCGCAGCCGGTTGGGTGCCAGCAGCCGCTTCAATCCAACGGAGCTGCTGTGGGGTGCGTGTAGGGTGTGAGGTGGGGTGTTTCAGTCGGTGGTTTATTTTTTTTTTCCTTGTCCGCCTGCTTGGTCTGGCTGCTGTTAGTCCCCCACCTCATGTTACCTCCAGGGACGCCGGAGAGACGCGGTCGCACTCCTCCCGGGACCGCAGGCTGTGCCACTGCTCCACAGCTGTCCGGTGCGCGTTGAGCATCCGGCGCCAGTGGTTGGACTCGGGGGCGCCCGTCGAGTACTGCCCGATCACGATCCTCCCAATGAAGTCATTGCTGCTCTTCACGTTGTGCCCGTACACTAGGGAGAGCAGAAACAGAGACTGGTCAAGGCAAAAGCATCGCTCACCCACCCAGACCTCTGCCCCTGGAAAGCCAAACATCCTGCCAGTGCCGCCTCACACAGCACGCCAGATGCCAGCGTTTTTGGCATATAACTCAGCACCTCAAAAATACTGGAAGCCGAATCGGGAGTTTGGAAGGAATAAGATAAGCTGTACTACAGACTGAAATACAATTCAAATAAACAGGACACAAATCCACAGTTATCATGGTATTTAGCAAGAATAGGTGAAGTAGAATCATAGAATGGTTTGCGTTGGAAGGGACCTTAAAGATCATCCTATTCCCACCCCCCCTGCCAGGGGCGGGGACACCTTCCACTAGATCAGGTTGCTTTGAGCAACCTGGCCTTGAAGTAGAATTACATCGTGTAAAGAAATGCCAAAAGTTCTGCCTGGCCATAGTGAAATGATGAGAGCAGCCAAGCAGCCCACAGCTGGGTAAATGAAGAAGCAGCATCTCAACCTGTCCCCCTCCAAATGCAAGTGTCATGAACCGTTCCAGTGCTAACCGACAGCGTTCCCGACTCAGAGGCAGGAACCACACATGTACAGGCTCAGCAGCATGTTTATACAGAAACAATTTTCCATAATTGTCGCTGCAGCTACTTGTTAAAAGTCCAGGAAAGCAACCGAGGGAGAGACATCAACCCAACACCCTGTCCTTTGGATTAGCCCAGTCTCCTGGAACAAAAGATCGCAGACAGCAGCAAACTCTAATGACGGGCCTGATCCCAGGAAAGGCTGCACGCTCCCGCCAGACAGGATCAAAAGCACTTGTGTTCTGCAAATTGAAGCCCTGCCTCGGCTCATTAGAAAGTTGAACAAAAAGTCTGTGCAAGCTGAAGCCAGGATATCCACCGGCACTGGCTGGAATATTAAGGATTAAAAAATCTCCTCAGGAAAGAGGGATTTTTAAGAACAAATGTCTGCAGGGGCTCCAAATCCACCCAGGCTTGTGCAGCAAGAGCAAGTTCAAAGGGGGAGCGCAGCCCGGCGTGGAGCCATGAGCCTGGCGTGGAGCCAAGCGCTGCCGCCACTGCCTTGCCAGCAGCACCAGCTCTCCAGGGCTGCTGGAAACCAGCACTGGCAGCAAAGTCACGTTTGGGATGCCTCATGGCAGCACCCCCTGATGCAGAGCACACCCTTCCAGGCAGGCAGGACACCGAGCACTAAGCACTCGACCTCGCTTTTAGCCACTCATCTTTGTCAAGGCTGTGTACTCCTATTATAATATATCCCACGATTAATTAGTATTATTTTAACGTGCTACTCAGTATCTCTACCGTCTCCATGCTCTGCAAAGGCTGGTTCCTAGCTACTGCACCAGTATGGGATCTTGCTCTGGGTGACTCAGGTGCCACCTGCCAGTGCAGTCCCAAAATAAAGCTGCACAAGGTTACATCTCGCTTTATACCTTCCGACAGTTTATGGGCAGAGATGCTTTTCCACATCAAATTACTGGGGGATATTTTTGGTAACAGCAAACCTTCAAATGTCCCAATCATTTCTCCAAATAATTGCACTAAAAAAAAAATTACACGGCAACTCAGAACATTGTAAGTCTATCTTCAAATTACAGTTAAAAATTAATTGGGGGCACATCTTCCCCTTAGGAAGACCGCATCTCTCCTGCTTGTTGCCATCAGTTATCTACGAGTGATGCGATCAGCTCTCTGCGACGTGCCGCTGAGGAAGTGCCCCTGTCAAGAGGCCAGGTTGATGTTATTTGGAAAGGCCACCTTGCGAGGATGTGGTGAAGAATTTTAAGCCATCCATCTCCAACTAGTATGCAGCCTGCCAGAGTTATTAACTTGCATCACAAGTGGAGCTAGTATGGCTATGCTACATGTCCCGCTACGATTTACTATCCCAGAGAAAACAAATATTGTGATAAAAATCACAGAAAAATACCCACAAACCAAATGCCTCCCTAATTTTTTATACAGGATTTTTTTTTCCTTCTTTTTTTTCCATTCTTTTTTTCAAGAATGAAAGAAGATGAAGCCTAATCCTGGGAGACAATACCAAGTAATTTAAACCAAGAAGTCTTAAAGGCCATCAATTAATCACAGGATAAATTAACAGTGGGGAAGTACCCCAGGCATACCAGTTCTTCAAAAATAATCCATGTCAGGATTGTAAAATGAGTAGGTGTGCTAACTAAGGGGACCTGTTATTTTACTCTTGATCCGGGTATTTTGAATTCTTATAAAGCATCTTGCTAACTTCATCATGTTGGGTAATTAGCATGTTGATTCCTTTAGGGTATTAATGGGCTAATTATACAAGCGTTGTTGCTTCTATCGTTAACTAGTTTAGAGAGCACAGAGGTAGACTTATTGCTGAAGAACAGGGAAGACATTCTCCAAGGCCAAATGCTTATTCAACACACAGATGGTAAGAGGTGGCACTAGATTCAACCTCAGGTTTACAAACTCGCAGTTTCACCACAGCAGCTTTCTCAAAAGATGACAGATCCTTGTGTGCCAAAAATTCAGCTTCGCTCATCAGTTCATGAGCCTTTAAAACTCAAGGACATGCCTTTCTCGGAGGCTAATTGCTTTATTCCTCTCTTAAAATGGCCAGTATTTGCTGGGCAAATTTGCTGATGGTTGAGGTGCACGGAGCTGTCGTGTGGACTTTACCCAGGAGAAGGTGCTAAAGTTAGCGTTGTGAAAATAAGCCTTTTTCTTTGCTCACGTTCAGGAGCACAATTTTCCCTGTTGCTGTCACCGGTTCTTCCAAGAGCAGCTTGGAAAGGAAAACTGTAGGAGCCCGTAAGCCCAGGCGAGAAGCTGAAAGCAGAGGCTGGCTGTGTTGCTGGCACTTGCTGCACCGGGCTGGAGCCATTCTGCCCGCGGGCCCCTGTCCTGGTGCAGGGAGGGGGAGCAGCTCTCCCCCATTCCTTCCCCCGCTACAGCAATCCCTTCTCTTCTCAAACAGATGAGGAACCGTTTCCTTGAACGCCAACAAGCATGCACTAGCCATTACGCTTATTACACCATTTACACTCACGTCTGACACGTCAGTCTGCTCCAAAGGCCAGCAGAAGTGGCTAACGTCACACTCTCGATACAGACCCCATAGGTACCACTCATGTATTGACCAGGACTCCTGGGTGCTCAGACACGATCCCAAAACGACAACTTTTCAAGGTACAAGGCGAGCTGCAGACCGTGCCGGGGCTGACCCATGCCCTGGCTAGAAGGGGACCTGCCGATGCAGCAGGCATCCGCGGGGAGACCCGAGAGCCCCTTTGAGCAGTAAACTCCTGCAGATCTGGGCAGGAGCCACCAGCCTGGGGATGGGCAGGCTCTGCCAGAGCCCCTCTGCTTTTTGCACACACACACATGCAGTGACCTGCATACCATGGCCATAGTCCCACCTACGGTGCAGCCAACTCCACACAAGCTCACGCCTTCAGCTGCGGCAGAAAAAAGCTCCTGCTCTTTCCCTTCAGCTTCTTCCACAACAGGTAGAGGTGGAGAAGCCCCTGTGGTCCAGCTCACAGGACAGCAGTTGGGCGCTGCACCGCGCTGTGAGCCCAGGTTACGGTACAAGTGGACCAACCTGTATTACCCAATGTCTGAGCATCCCCTTCCAGAGTCTGAAAGGAGCTCAGAGTAGGTTTCAGATTAAATCTGCTCTTGGCCACAAAAAACAGTAACTCCATGGAGCTGCTCAGAAGCAGAAAATGAGGTAATTATCATTTGGGGTTTTCAGACTGACCCAGACTCTGGTTATGGACAGGTAGACACTGCTTTCCATTTAAGAAACCTATTTTCCTGACAGAAACTACACACCTGATCTCATAAGCTCTTTTTCCACCATCGCAGTAATTTACACAATAGCAACATCCATTTCCAGGCCAACACAGAGCAAAAAGCAATTAAGGAATCAGAGGTCAAACCAATTCGTTCTACAGCTGCTCTTTATTGAGGGATGTATTTGGAAACAGAAAGGCTTCTTTAAAAAAACCTCTTTATAATAGAAATGCTGAAATATAAAAGAAAATTGGGTTCACTCATGTCCATTAAAAGGGTTGAATTCTTGAGGAAAAGCAATGCGATGTAAATAAAACATTTTTATGTTATATACTTACTGATGTATCGCTCCTAAATGATCCATATCAAACTGATGGGGGCCTGGGTGCTACATGAAACTTTTCTTTGGGGTAGGGAGCAGAGCACTCGCCCAGGCAATGGCCCATGTCCCCCATGGGGCTCCTGAGCAGGAGGGGTGGCTGGGTCACACCCCCAGCCCGGCTGCCGTGCTCCCTGCAGGGCTGAGCAGCACGGCACGGTGGGTACCAGGCATTGCACAGCCCAGAGCTGCACCCCAGGGGCGGCAGGGACTGTCAGGTAATGTGATGGGGCTTGGAGCTCAAACATTTGGCTCCAAATTCAACTCCAGCCTGAGCTTTCCCATGTCTCCTACCAACCTCGGTCACGTGGAATTGCTTTCCGCTGATCAACAGTTTTGCCTGTCGCTACATAATCTGGCGCTCACCATGAGTTTGCCTGGATGGCATCAGCCCAGGCACTGCATCCAGCCAAAACACCTTTTACCTTCCCCCTTTGCCTCTGCACTGAGACTTGCAAATGGAGTACTTGTGAAGAGCACGACTGCAAAGTAATTGTGATTTATGACTTATGTGCAGTAGTAGAATTTAAGCTGGCACTTCAAATATTAATTCACCCTTTGATTGAACATATTAGAAGCCTTGAAATGACCAGGAAAAAGCACTAATTCAAAAATTTCCTTAAGCTAACTTCAAGGCTATTGGTACCATTTATGCGATGAGGGACAAGCTTTACACAGAAGCACCTTGCTCAGCTGGGGTCACAAACCACCTGCACCTCCTGTAAACCCTCTGCCAGACATGCCCAGCAGTTACTCAGCAGTTATGGCCGCGTTTCACCGCTGAGTACGGCCGCGCAGCGCCTCTGCTGCCGCC